CAGCCAGACTGTGAGCACCCAATGCTGTTGGCTGTAAGGACTGGGGGGCATCGCTTATTCTTGGGCCCCTATCGCAGGTGGCTGGGTGGCGTTGGTGGAGCCACCAGTCCTCAGGCCCCTAATGTGGGTAGGTGAAGACTGTACTTAATGGGCAGAGCAGTGTCAAATGTCACAAACCTGTTGCTTCACAGCTGAAAGTTTAAGTTAGACTTCAAGTATATACCCTGTTGTATTGCGGTAATGAGGGCCTACACTGTTGAAATGGGCCCACACGAGTCTTGGCAGGGGGAAAGTCATTCAAAGTCCATGGATCCCTTATGCCTGTGCCTGGGCAAAGGAGCTGTGCCTACCCTGGGTTCCTGGCCTAGGGGAGCCGGAAGTTTGTTTTTCCCCTGTTCGTTAATTTGTTCACTCTCCAAGGCCGGGAGAATGGCTCAGGGCGTGTGACGGAGCCTACGTCCGTCCCAGGGGACTTGGCGATTGCTGAAGCCAGTCCACTGCCCAGTGCAGAGCAGGGAGTGGGGAGGTAAATGGGAGAGAGCTTTCCCCCTAAGGGAGGTGTTTTTGTTAAGCGCAGTAGGCCGTACGCAAGTACTTATCTTTCGCCGATCTAAGGCTACTTCTCACTAGTTCTGGGTGACCGAGTAGACTCTCTGCACCTGGGTCTCTCCTGGTGCGAAATACGCCTCCCGAGCACTGCTGCTTGTCTTCCTCAACACTCACCCATGAGCTGATCAGGCGTGAAGGGCTCAGACTCTCGCTGGGTCAAGTCTGGCAACTCCTTGCTGCTTCCGAGCCATCTCTTCCTCCCCCTGCCACTCAGTCCGGTTCCTCAACTTTGCCTTAGATGATCAAGGCTCCTAGATTGTCATATATAATTGATTCACTTGTTTTTTTGGGTCTTTTTTGTAAGAGGGTCAACTGGAAGTGTCTGACTATTCTGCCATCTTGGCCCCGCCTTGAGACATACAACTTTTTAGTGGGCTTTATTCATTCTCAACGTTAATATAGTATATCATTGAGAGGTTTTAAGCAATGGACCAGTCAGGAGAAGATAATAAGGGCTAAAGATAAAAAGTTATGGCATCCATCAGCACAAGAGCCATGACAGTAGATAAAAATCTCTCAAGAAATACACGTAGTGCTCTCTTCAGCAGCACGTATACTGAAATTGAAATGATACAGAGAAGATTAGCATGGCCCTGTGCAAGGATGGCACGCAAATTCGTGAAGTGTTCCATATTTTTAAACTTGCCAAAACCAAAGATAAAGAGAGAATTTTAAGAGTGGCTAGGGAAAAACGAAAAGTCATCTACAATGGAGAGTCAGTAAGACTAAGCTTGAACTACTCAGCAGAAACCATGCAGGCAAGAAGGCAATGGGATGAAATATATAAAGCCTTGAAGGAAAAAAATTGCCAGCCAAGAGTTATATTTCCAGCAAAACTGTCTCTCAGATATGATGGCAAAATTAGGGCATTTCCAGATAAACAGAAGTCTAGGGAATTTGCAAAAACCAAACCAAAATTACAAGAAATACTAAAGGGAGTCCTCTGGTTAGAAAATCAGTAGCATCAGATAACAACTCAAGACTAAAACACAGGACAGAGCAACCAGATGTCAGCCCAAATGCGGAAGTCATAAAAATAAATCAAAACTGAAACACTGAAAATAGGGAAACGGAGATGTCAATAAGTAAAGATGACAACATTAAAACAAAAAAGAGGGATCAAAAAATGTAATCATAGATTTTGCATATGGAGAGGAAGTCAAGGCGATACATAGAAATGAAAGACTAGTTTAATCTTAGAAAAATAGGGGTAAATATTAAGGTAACAACAAAGGAAACTAACAATACTACACATCAAAATAAAAAACAAGAAAAACGTAAAGACTCAGCAAATTCAAAATCAACAACAGTGAAAAGGATGAAAAGAAATTCATAAAGAAAAATGACTCAGCACAGAGAATTAAGTGGAGCAAAGAAACTGTCAACAACCCATAAAAAAAAGACATTAAAATGACAGCACTAAACTCGTACCTATCAATAATTACGCTGAATGTAAATGGACTAAATGCACCAATAAAGAGACAGAGAGTGGCAGAATGGATAAAAAACCACGATCCGTCTATGTGCTGCCTACAAGAGACACACTGTAGACTTAAAGACACAAACAAACTAAAACTCAAAGGATGGAAAAAAATATATCAAGCAAACAACACTCAAAAAAGAGCAGAAGTGGCAGTATTAATCTCTGACAAAACAGACTTTTAAAGGAAAATCTACCACAAAGGATAAGGAAGGACACTATATAATGATTAAAGGGTCAATACAGCAGGAGGACATAACTATAATAAATATTTACGCACCCAATGACAGGGCTCCAAAATACATAAAACAAACTAACCGCATTGAAAAGAGAGATAGCTCCACAATAGTAGTAGGAGACTTCAACACACCACTTTTGGTGAAGGACAGAACATCCAGAAAGAAGCTTATTAAAGACACGGAAGATGTAAATGGTACAGTCAACCAACTTGATCTCATGGACATATACTGAACACTCCACCCAACAGCAGCAAAGTATACTTTCTTTTCCAACACACATGGAACATTCTCCAGAATAGACCGCATATTAGGCCATAAAGCAAGCCTTAACAGAATGCAAAGCATAAAAATATTACAAAGCATCTTTGACCATAAAGCCATAAAAGTAGAAATCAATAACAAAAAAGAAAGGAAAAAAAAAATACATAGAAACTGCATGACACCTTTCTCAGAAACTACTGGGTTATAGAAGAAGTTAAGGATGGAATAAATAAATTCATAGAATCAAATGAGAATGAAAACACATCCTACTAGAACCTTTGGGACACAGCAAAAGCAGTGCTCAGATCAGTTTATAGCAATAAATGCAGCATCCAAAAAGAAGAAAGGGCCAAAATCAAAACATTAACCCTGCAACTTGAAGAAGTGTAAAGAGAGCAGCAAAAGAAGCCCTCAGGTGCCAGAAGAAAGGAAATAATGAGAATTCGAGCAGAATTAAAGGAAGTAGAGAATAGAGAAACAATTGAAAGAGTTAATAAGACCAAAAGCTTTGAAAAGATCAACATTGATAAACCACTGGCCAAAATGACAAGCGAAAATCAGGAGAGGAAGCAAATAACCTGTATAAGAAATGAGATGGGTGATATACCACAGACCCAAACTGAAAGTAAAAGAACCATACCAGAATACTATGAAAAATTGTACTCTAACAAATTTGAAAACCTAGTGGAAATGGACGAATTTCTAGAAACTCACTACCTACCTAAACTAAACAACTAAATAAACCTATAACAAAAGAAGAGATTGAAAAGGTACTTAAAAAACTCCCAACAAAAAAAGAGCCCTGGTATGTAGAGCATAATTCTAACTCACAATAAAATAAAGACCAGATTGACTGGCCTAAAGGAAACTGGAGAAACCTCGAGAGTGTGGCCCCCAGACACCCTTTTAGCTCAGTGGTGAAGTCACCTCCGAGGTTCACTGTTCAGCCTCTGAGTGGACAGCCCCGTAAAACCAAATGAGACTAACGAGGTACAGGAGTCCAGTGACAAGGGCCAGAAGGCAGAAGGGGACAAGGAAGCTGGTGATAGGGAACACAAGATTGAGTAAGGATATTGTTGATGTGTTGTGAGATTGTTAACCATTGTCATAGGGCAACATTTGTAGTAACTGTTAAAATGAGAAACTATTTTGTTCTGTAAGCCTTCACCTTAAGTGAGAATAACAGCACAATTGGAAGAGCGTAGTGAATGTCAAAAAAAAAAGAGCCCTGATTCAGAGGGTTTCACTACCAAACTTTCAGGGAAGAGTTAACACCACTACTACTAAAGGTATTTCAGAGCATAGAAATGGATGGAATACTAGCAAACTCATTCTATGAAGCCAGCATAACCCTGATACCAAAACCAGGTAAAGACACCACAGAAGAAGAAAATTACAGGCCAATATCCCTCATGAACGTTGACGCAAAAATCCTGAACAAAATTCTAGCCAATAGAATTCAGCAACATATCAAAAAAAAGAATTCATCATGATCAAGGGGGCTTTATACCAGGTATGCAGGGATGGTTCAACATTAGAAAAACAATCAATGTAGTCCATCCCATAAATAAAAGGCAGGAACCACATGACCTTATCAATTGATGCAGAAAAGGCATTTGATGAATTCCAACACCCATTCATGATAAAAACTCTTAGCAGAATAGGAATAGAAGGGAAATTCCGCAGCATAATTAAGGGCATTTATACAAAGCTAACAGCCAACGTCATCCTAAATGGAGAGACTTTGAAAGCATTCCCCTTGAGAATGGGAACCAGACAAGACAAGGATGCCTTTTAGCACCGCTCTTGTTCAGCATTGTGCTGGAGGTCCTAGCCAGAGCAATTAGGCTAGAAAAAGAAATAAAGGGCATCCGAATTGGTAAGGAAGAAGTCAAAGTATCTCTATTTGCAGATGATATGATCTCACACACAGAAAACCCCACAGAGTCCACAGGAAAACTACTGGAACTAATAGAAGATTTCAGCAAAGTTTCAGGATACAAGATAAACATACAAAAATCAGTTGGATTCCTCTACATCAACAATGAGAACTTCCAAGAGGAAATCACCAAATCAATACCATTTACAATAGCCCCCAAGAAGGTAAAATACTTAGGAATGAATTAAACCAGAGACGTGAAAGACCTATACGATGAAAACTACAAGACATTACGGCAAGAAACCAAAAGAAACCTATATAAGTGGGAAAACATACCTTGCTCATGGATAGGAAGACTCAACATTGTGAAAATGTCAGTTCTACCCAAAGTGGTCTACAGATACAGTGCAATCCCAATCCAAATTCCAACGGCATTTTTTAATGAGATGGAGAAACAAATCATCAACTTCATATGGAAAGGGAAGAAGCCCCAAATAATTAAAGCATTACTCAAGAAGAACAAAGTAGGAGGCCTCACACTACCTGATTTTAGAACCTATTATACTGCCACAGTAATCAAAACAGCCTGGTAGTGGTACAATAGCACATACATAGACCAATGGAACAGAATTGAGAATCCAGACATAAATTCATCAACCTATGAGCAGCTGATATTTGACAAAGGCCCAAAGTCTGTTAAATGGGGAAAAGATAGTCTCTTTAACAAATGGTGCTGGCATAAGTGGATATCCATCAGCAAAAAACTGAAAGAAGACCCCTGCCTCACACCATGCACAAAAACTAACTCAAAATGGATCAAAGACTTAAATATAAAATCTAAAACGATAAAGATCATGGGAGGAAAAAATAGGGACAACACTAGGAACCCTAATCACATGGCATAAACAGAATACAAACTATAAATAACAATGCACAAACACCAGAAGAGAGACTAGATAACTGGGAGCTCCCAAAAAGCAAACACTTATGCTCATCGAAAGACTTCATCAAAAGAGTAGAATGACAGCCTACGATGGGAAAAAATTTTTGGCTACGACAAATCTCATCAGTGTCTAATCCCTAAAATCTACAAGATACTGCAAAATCTCAACAACAAAAAGACAAATAATCCAGTTAAAAAATGGACAAAGGATATTAACAGGCACTTCGCAAAGAAGACATTGAGGCAGCTAACAGACACATGAGGAAATGCTCACGATCATTAGCTATTAGAAAGTGCAAATCAGAACGACACTGAGATGCCATCTCACCCCAACAAGGCTAACATTAATCCAAAAAACACCAAATAATAGATGCTAGAGAGGTTGTGGAGAGACTGGAACACTTATACACTGTTGGTGGGAATATAAAATGGAACAACCACTTTGGAAATCGATTTGGTGCTTCCTTAAAAAGCTAGAAGTAGAAGTACCATATGATCCAGCAGTCCTACTCCTTGGAATATATCCTTCAGAAGTAAGGGCAGTTATAAGACTAGATATATGCACACCCATGTGCATTGCAGCACTTTTCACGATAGAAAAAGATGGAAACAACGTAGGTGCCCATCAGTGGATGAATGAATAAACAAATTATTTTGTATTCACACAGTGGAATACTGCACAATGATAAAGAACAACAATGAATCCTTTAAACATAACGAAAGAATCTGGAAGACATTATGCTGAGTGAATTTAGCAAGTTGCAAAAAGACAAATATTGTATAAGACCACTGTTATAAGAACTCAAGAAAAAGTTTAAACACAAAAGAAAACATTC